CATAATTATTAATACATTTGCATAAACCGAATTCAATAACCAGTTTTACATGTGTGGTTCGAAACAGTGTTCAAACGTGTTTTTGAGCACGAACCAACCGGTTGGAACAGGATAACATCCCTAGATGAGACTATAAAATATTGCTGTTACAATACACAGGTCGAAATAAAGCAAATCGGGTTCATATCATGATCTTGTGATGCCGATTCGACCTGTGATAGTTGTGCTTACTTGTTATAGACAATCTCATCAATTTCAAATTGAACTAACATCTTTGAACACTCTTAAAATATTTTAAGTTAAAACTCAGCGTGAAACAAAAATAAAATAAGATCCTAAAAACAATATTACTTACCAAAACACGGAAAGCTAAATAAACAATTTATTAGGCTTGTGTTTTCAACCCATTTGTATTTGACAATATAAGACTACAGCAACATTTATATTTATGATATATACTCACGTGTTACAATAAAGAATTAGGTTGGCCTCTTCATCTTTCACATCTTTCTTATTTTCCTTATTTCCTTATCCTTTTCATCATTCTCATCATTCTCCTCATTCTCATCATTCTTATCATTCTCATCATTCTCATCATTCTCATTATTATTATTATCTTTTTCATCGTTCTTAGTTTTCTTGTAATTCTTTTTTTTAGTAATTAATTTACTTTCTCTTCCGACTTCCAATAAAGCATTTACTTCAGCATGTACGCATAAACAATGGTCTGATTTACCTCCAGCTTTATCTTGAGTGCAACTTTGGCATTCACCTTCAATGCAATTATTTAAACCTTTTGCAATACCATTATATCCTGTCGCGATTATTCTGGAGTCTTTAACTAATACACAGCCAACCTTACGCTTCACGCAATTTGTTCTTAATGTTACCAGCTCTGCTAAATACATGAAATATGTGTCATAAGTAGGTCGCAATCTCTTTAGATTTGAGAGATCAAGCTTTTTAAGACAATTGTGTAGGTCTTCTTCTGTTGAATAATTATTCGTGATAGTAAGATCAGCCATGGACATTAACTCATAAATATCATCCCAATTTTTATCATTTGCTTTTATAACTGTATCGAAATTTTCGTAGTTTCCTCCATCTCCTTTTTTGTTATTTTCTCCGTTTTCTTCGTTTTTCATTTTTGCAGTTTCTACTGAACTTTTTTATTTACACGTATAATAAATATTTAATCCCATTAATCGAGTGACCTCCTCAAATTAATACTCACCATTTTTGTTTCCACCTATCATATCTAACACTCAATTTACCATCTACAGCCAATAATAAGAAAAAAGGACGTCGTCTATTAAGAAATATCATTAAATGATTCATTTAAAAAAATTTGTGCCACGTTTTAGAATTAAGTTTTTATACAGTGCATAAAAGAATTTTTTAACGTTTTTAGTGTATTATCATCGTTACCAATTATTACATATTTATTATCACGTTTTCACCTATAATTTTTTGTAAGAGCTTTTTTTCTGGTGAATCGTTAAGTTCTAACAAATTCTGACGCATCTTTATATTGGTTTGATAAATCTTCAACGTATTTTTATTCTCTGACTCATAAGTAATTTGTTTAGGCATATTTTCAAAAATTTTTCCCACCCCACTAATTAATTCTGACAGATTATAATCTTCTGACACATTTTCGCTGAGACTTGTCGCCATAAAACCTTTTGTTCCAAGCCATTTTGTAATAGTGTCTTTCCCAGAACAAGTTGGACCGATGATTCCAATAAGAATCATAATTAAACTCTCAATACTATATGAGAAGCAATTGAATAGCACAGTACATGTCCGTTTTAAAGCTTCAACTTTTAAAGAAAATTAATGGTAATACAAATTTTTAAACGCATAAATAAAGTGTGTCTCTGAATATCTGGCTTTGCAGTAAATAACTCCCAAATATGGAATAACGATAATAACAAAAATAAATAATAGAAGGTAAAATAAAAGAAAATTTTCATAAGTTACGGAAGAAATTGTGACACAGTACTAGAGGTACATCGTACGGGCATTATTTATTGATAGCGGATAAGGCGAATTACAGATCTCTTGTAAAATATATGTCAGGTAATGCCAATGTGATCATGTATTTGGAAGTAGGCAAATATAAATAAAATTAATAAATATGTACTGTACACAGGTACCGGTACAACGTCAATCGAAGAATTAATCCATACTACTGACATGGGTGTTAATAGTAGTCGAAGCTACTAAAATCTACCTCAAAGGTAGAGCGACGCAGAATACTTATGGGCCTCTCAAGGGCACCAATTTGGTTTGTTATTATTTTACTTCGATTGAGACGATATATTTACGTGGCCAAAGTAAGTTGATTTTTATTCTCTTTCAATTTTTATACATTTACTTTCTTTCTCATTACATCATATTTCGCTCATACATATTTTATCTTTTAATTGATTACTAATCGCTATTAATTAGTGCATTGTTCTTGCAATACTAAATACTACTATATTACGACATATTTTATGCATTACCAATATTATATGACTGACTTTGCTATTGATATTCGTATCCTTCATTTATCATCCCCGAAATCACGTCTACGATCCATACCCGATCGAACATCACGTGGGTCACGTTGACCACGTGACGGTTCGATCGATCTAATCTAAGTTTTCGAAAAGAAGTTTTTTTTTTTTGTATTACTATTTTTGCCTTACGCTCTTGCTTAATAAACTATAAGTCATGCCAACTGTATTCCCCGTACAAAGTGCGCCATATGTTCTGTTACTCCATCACGCTACCAAATATTTGTTATCATCTGAATCCGAATAATTGGCAAAGTTCTGATTGTCCGGCATTCAGATTAATCGAGTAAATCGCGTATTAACTCGTATTCATAACTACATCAAACATTTATACTGAAATTTTTATGTATTATAAACTAAAAAACCAAAACCAAAAATAGCTTATGTTTATTCACACTGACTATAGTATAACTATTTTATACTAATTTATATAATTCCGTACTAACACTACATCCGAACAATACAGTATAAGCAAGAATATATAAAAATCGCTCATAGCTGTTAGACAAAACCTGATTTCGCGCTGACGAAACGCGTAACCTAGTTTTGTCATTCGTCAATTAAAATATTAAATGACGAAACTGACAAAAATTGAAAAGGTAACGAACTACAAACTGCAAATAGTGACGAATTAATAAAGATGCATAAATGGATCACTAATTCTTGAAATATACTTGTTAAATGTTGAAGCAACAAAATCGAATTAAAAAGAAAATGATCATCTATTATTATGTCAAGGGTAGATATGCTTTTCGGTGATTTTGGCTTAATTGAATGCTAAGATTCAAAGTATTTCATTTAAATCCAAAAGGATATCTCATAAGAAAATTACTACATATCACCACTGGTGATCATCACCGGTCCTAAGATTAGTTAGGGTTAGGGTTAGAAATTAG